GATGCTGACACCACATCGGGACCCCCCCCGGGGTTGTTCCAGCTCTTACAGAACCAAAAGAGATTTCAAGCTTTTATTTTCCCTTGCCTTAATTCTGAGGTGAACCAGCTTAAAGCAACAACTCGCAGCAGCAGCTCAGAGCTGGTCACTGCCTTCTGCCTGGGGAGGCACAGCAAAACAGAGACAGGTGAGGACAGCACTGCCGAGACCACGAGCACTGCCAGATCCGTGCAAAGTCCTTGGCATTTCTTGGAAGCTCCGATTAATTAAAAAAAAAAAAAAAGTGATAAATAAATAATAATTTGCACGGTCCCATGGCTGGAGCTCGGGAAAAGTGCTGAAAAGCAAAAGAGGTGAGCGATAAGTGGAAGGGAGCGCATTGGCTGAGCCTTTACCTGGGTGCCAACGGCACAGCAGCGTGGCTGATTCTGGAAGTAGGTCAGTGTACCTGTACCTCACCTCCCTGTCCGCGCCATTAACTTTAACCTTTAGTCTTTGGCTCGTTACAGCTCTGGTCGGCGATGATGGGCATTTGCATCCCCAGCACGTGGCGCAGGCAGCAGGGCGCCTGCTCACCTGCACCCATACAGCAGGTGCCCACCAGATCTGCTCTTGGGGATGCCCCCAAGGCCCTCCCCATGCAGGCAGCATGCAGAGTTCCCCCTCTGCTCAACTGCTTTCGCTCTGCCAAAGCGTCATGAGAAATATAAGCCTGTGCGGGGTTGCCATGGAGCACGGCTCAGCCACGGAGCAGGGGCCTGAGGGGGTTCCTCTGAGAAATGCAGGCTCCTCTTGCCCCTTGCTCAGCAGGGCCTTATCTTTGGGGACAGCCCTTCCCTGGGGTGATGGAGAGCCCAGCAGTGCTCTCCTAGGGCGTGCAGGCCCAGGAAATGCCCCTTGTCTCGGTGAAGCTGTGTCCCCAGATTCACAGACAGGCAGGAGGAGTGGTGGCTGCAGTGGCTGTTGTCCCAGAAGCACAGGAAGTCCCCTCACATCACCTCTGACCTGCCCCGGTGGGTGATGTTCCCAGGCTCCCAGGGGTGCTGCCCTAGGGCAAGCACATCCTTGTCAGCACGCTTTTGCCAGCACGCTGCCTGCTGGCACAGTCACCATGGGCTCTCCCATGAGCCCGGTCCCAACCCCACCAACACAGCACGTGCTGTCAGAGCCCCACAGGTGTCCGTGTCCCCAGCCCTGCTCCAGGGGCCACAGAGCCCTGCTCCTCAAAGCGAAGAAGGTCCTGCAGCCCTAGGGACATTTTTCATTTTCAACCGACAGCACTTAAGTGACGGAGCAAGAAGAGTTTCTACCTACAAATAGGTTTTTGACATTGGAAAGGTTAATGTGGGAGAGAAATCTGTGCCTTTCACAAAGCTCCCTTTGCTTAAGGCACGAGGTTAAGACCTTAATTATTCACCTGTTGGAGAGGTGCCTTTCCATTACGGCATGGGACCAGGGAGGGGATGTGCAGGCAGGGCGGAGGCAAGGGACAGCGTGGGGTCCTGCCAGGGTGAGAAGGACCCGCTCAGATCCAAGGCTGGAAGCAGCAGGTCTGCACCCAGGCTCTGCCAAGGGGCTGGGTCTGAGGCCAGCCCTCCTTCCTCTGCTTCTCCAGTTCCCATGGCTCTCAGCAGCACACCACACTCTCCGTCTCCTGTACCCAAAGCTGCAGAGTGCACGGCTGCGGGGGTCCTGCTTTGCAAACAAAACAGCACCAGCAGCCCCTCTCTGTGCCCACCACCATGCTGCAGCCCACCTGCTGCCCCCAGAGAGGAGACAGCAGCACCAGCCTCTGTGGCATGGGGCCCTGTGACCCACACTGCAGCCTTTGCCCAGGCCCTTGGGCTGCCTCCATCGTCCAGATCCCACCACATGCAAAAAAAGCAGAATATCAGTCTGCTCAGTGAGGACTATTGGAAATCAGGGACACGTACCCACATCATTACTAACAATACCATGACGCCTGATGCACCTCTGCGCAACCGAAGGCTTTGGCATGCTTTCTGCACTCATCGACGGATCAAGCTGTTAGCAGGAGGCTCGGAACTTAGAGAGGGAATGTAGTATTTCAGTTCATGTGATCTTCAAGCATCTCTCTGAGAAGCAGCCTATTGTTATTTGTTGGTTGTTTTGTTTTGTTTTGTTTTGTTTTTTTCCCTGCTGCACTTTGTTTAGGGGTTTAAAACAAATTGAAGCCATGAGTCTAATGCTGATGCCTCTTGCAGGACACGGGGCTGGTGGCCCCTCCGTGGAGCTGCTGCAGCCCCTTCCAGCGCCCGGTGCCACCGGGCAAAGCAGCCCCAGGCAGCTGTGTGCCTCTGGGCTGTGGTATTGCACAAAATGGATTTACGGACCCAGAAATGACACGTTTCAAGCTGCTGCAAACTAAAATCCCTTCCAGTTGCTGTTAAAATGGAAAAGAGGGTGGCAGGAAAAAGGCAGGCATTGAGTGCAGAACCCTGATTTTCCCACTGTAGCAATGCACCACGTGAATCATCGCTGCCCTCGATATGTAAATAGAGGTTAGCAGGCATCCTCAGCACAAGCCCAGATAATTAAGGGCCTGATGCAAATGCCCACGTTAAACCTCCGTGCGTCTCCACGAGAGCCCTCCCAAGGGGAAGGGACCACCAGGCACCCGCACGCGTCGTGCTGTGCCTTGCATTAACCCTGCTGCAAAAGGAGGCAGCGGGGAGGAGCGCGGAGAGCCAGCAGGAGAGGCACTGGGGGAAGAAGCAGACTGCCTCAACATTTCCACAGGGGAACCGGGTAATATTCACAATCTTGTGGCCTCCTGACACTGCAGCCTCTTAGGATAATCTGATCCCGTGCTGGAACAGTGGGGACCGTGCGGGAGCAGCTTTGGGGCTTCATTGAGAAGTTAGCAAGGCAGTTGTAAGAAGAGGCTAGTACAGTAGTAATCGGGAGAGACGTCAGAGGGAGCGTGGGACCCGCCTCCCTCTCGTTTATAGTTCTGAAGAAAGCATGTGACAGCGCCAGGGCTGGAGCCACCACTGCAGTTTCATCAGAGGTTAAGGTACAAGCACCATGCACACTTACAACTTCAGCCCTTTCTAAAGCAAATGCATGCAAATCACACTTTTTGTTTGTTTGTTTGTTTTGTTTTTTTTTTCCCCTCTCTTTTCCTCCCTTTTCACACCAGCCTTTAACCCTTGTGGGCACAGGGGGGACAGGGAGGAAATGCAATTATCTAAAGTGGCCACTGTGCCGTACAACAACTGTACAACAACCCCAGGCTGCATGGCACTTCTGAGGGAACCCGCAGCAGCCTTCCCAGCTCTGTTTGCTGCTCCTAAGATTACACACCAGCAGGCATCAGAGCAGCATTGACCCTATGCGCATATGGACAGTGCCTCCTCCGACATAGTGCAGGTACAGGAGAGGGAGAGGAACCGAGGCGACAAACACAGCCAGCCTTATTCACGAGGTACCATAAAAATGGTCTTATTTCATCGCAAGCCATTTCACAGTCCCAAATTCTGCAGGGTATTCACAACATGGTGGTTTTGCACCAGAGAAGGATGATACTTCTCAAGATTGCTTTTCCAGCCTTACCAGTCCCCTTTTGGAATAAGATTCCTAGACTGAAACGTCAAATGCTGACAAAAAAGCAAAGCAATGCCACCCTTCAGATAGGTGCTGCAGTCACACGAGCTTTCCACTTCACGTTACAGATGCAGACAACTGGCAGGTTATTGCTGGGAAGCAGAGCCAGGAACTTTCACCTGCCTAGAGAGTAATTGGGATGGGGGGAGCTCAGCCTTTCTGAAACACTTTGCGGGGATGACACCTCGCGAAACCAGCCTCCTTTCTCCAGCTGGCATTCCCCCCAGCAATAATAAATCCCTCCGAATCAGAAGGCACAAGCCACTTACAAAACCTTCTTGGCCCACTTCTCACCCTTCCTGACCCTTCTTCTGTAATCAGCCTGTCATCGGTTCTTCATTAGCTGCCCGCGTCCCTCCCCGCCGCTCTGCCCCCACCAACTGCCTGAGTCCTGTGCCAGGCTGGAGCACTGGCGCACACCAGGAGCGGCGCCGGGACTCCACCGGTGCAGCTGGTGGCAAGACCTTCCTGGTTCTGGCTGGCACATGCACCAGGGGCAAATCTGATTGACCAAGCCTGGAGATGTTGTTTTGCACTCAAACAGCAGGATTAGAGCCGGCCGTCCCTCCTCGCACACACGCATACCCCCGCTGTGTGCAATCCCCAACTCGGACTGGTGAGAGAGCAAGGGTTGGGATGAACGTGCTAGCTGCACAATCAGAGCTATTTGGTAATCGGGGGTTATGAAAGTGAAGGGCTGGAGGGATGATATATAACTACACAAAACTCTTCCCGCTTGCACCAGCCCCGGCAATCTGCCTGCGAAACACCCGCTGGGGAGCTCGGCACCAGCCGCGGCTCCGGCTGCCGCCCGGCTCGTTGTGCGGTGCCTTCACCCCCCAAAATGGAAAAGCATGCGAGCCCTATAGCCGGCCCGGCTCGCTCTCGTGATGGTGCGGGAGCTGCCAAGGCGCCTTAAGCCGATTTGCACGCCCGGCTCCGTCCAAAAGGCAGCCGGAGCCCGGCGTGGCCGCGGTGCGGCACGAAGCACCCCCGGCCCCCCCAGCCCGCAGCCCGTGGGCGTGCGGGTGCCGCTGCCCATGACTCAGCCCCCGGCCCGGCTCCCGCCTCCCCCGCACCCCCCCCCCGCACCGGGGGCTGCAGCAGGGCCGGGGGGAGCCGCTCCGGGGTCCCCCATCCCCGGCTCGGGGCCGGCCCCGCGCCGCAGGGGCTCGCGAGGGGCCGGGGCTGGGAGCGGGGCGCAGGGGGGTCGCTCCGCGAGACCCCTCCCCAGCAAACCCGACGGCGTCCCGCTGCGGGACCACCTCGGCGCCCTTCCCACTTATCCCCCTTCCCCTCCCCATCCCCGCAGCGCCCCGGCGGGACCCCCGGCCCGCTCTGCCCCCCCCCCCCCCGTGCCCCCTCCCTCCCACCTGGCTGTCGGCGAGGTAGTTGAAGACGAAGGAGGAGAGCGCCTCGTCGAGCAGGGCGCCGCAGTCCGGCCCCGGCTCCGCCATCTTCCACAGCCGGCAGGGGCTGAGGCGGCTCCGAGCGTGCGGCAGGAGCCGGGCGGCCGCCGGGGCGGAGCCGTTCGCAGCCCCCGCCCGCAGGAGCCGGGGAGGGAACCGGGGGAGTCCGGGGGCTCGCGGGGGGGACGGGGGAAGAGGGAGCCAGGTCGCCGAGCGGCCCCCGAACGGCAGGGGTGAGGGGGGAGCAGCCGCAGCGCTGCTGCCTGCGACGAGGGGGGCCCGACGGCAGGCATCGGGCCGGGGGGGGGGCAGGCGTGCGGGGAGGGGGACCGCAGGGGGCCGGCTCTGAGAGGTGCCCCGAGGTGGTCGGGGTGGGCTGGGGGTAAGCAGGGAGTGAGGAGTAGCACGGGGGGGGCTTCGGGTCCCCTCTGTTGTCTCAGCCCCCCTCCCCCCCCAGCCCGCTCCAGCCAGCAGCTCATGTCACGTGCAGCGTTTGCTGTCTCAGGTTTGGAGGCGTGCAGATGCTAAAAGCCCTCTCAGAAATATTGATGGCGGGCCCCAAATCTTGTGGATGCTCTGTGTGCTTAACCGAAGCAATTACAGGGAGAGAGCAGGGCTTGGCAGCACTGCCTAGCTTAGCTGGTGTGCGGCCAGCCGAGTGTACACCTGCAGCCTGATGGGCCCGTACCCTCACAGCCCACCCCCTCACAGCCCTCCAGGCGGCTCAGGCAGGCCTGCGGGATCCTGATATGCCCAAACAGCTGAGGAAACAAAGCCATGAGGAGCGCCCTAGATGGAGAGGGATGCGTTGGGCTCTGATGGCTGAACAGAAGGGGGTTTTCCTCCAGCACAAAAGCCTTGCTGCCCATCAGCTTTCTCGCCTTGTTCTTGTTTCAGAGGCCGTTTCCAAACCCTGCAGTCTCCCTCTGCTTCAGGACTTGCCGTCAGCACTGTGTGATGCATAAACACTGGGTATTCCCAATGACTCCGAGCCCTGTGCCAAAAGATGTCAGCAGACCATGCGTGTTGCTGGGGAGAGATGAGGCAGGGGCGGCTTGGCTGCTGGGGGGTGAGAAAGCAAGGAGAAGCTGCCCACAGCTCTTCCTCAGGCTGCCCTGCCTCATCCCTAATTACTGCCACCAAGCAGTGCAACAGTGCCCCAAGGGGCTCTTCAAGCTGCTCAGCAGGGGTGAAACTTGACTTTCCCTGAGGAGCTCGGGGCCCCATAATGCTGCTTCCAGCACTGCTCCAGGCAGCTGGCGTGGCATGGAGCAGCCAAAGGGCCTGGGGCAAGAAGCTGCTGTGGGCACGTGCAGTGCCTTACAGACCAGGACTCGGATTCCCCACTGATGCTGCTGGTGGTGACCTGGGGTTTGTTCCCCCCAGCCCCTCCTGCAAGTGATACATGTGCTGAACGCTGCAGGGAGCTGAAAATGGGGGAATTTGCCCCATCCGGGACGGGGGGGGGGGAGCAGGACAGGAAGGCTTTGCAATAAAAGTAGTCTTTCAGGAGGAATTTGGTGAACAAAAAGTGAGGTTCTTGTTCAAGTATGTTGTGATTTCTTTTAAATGAGCTGTACTCAAATGGGAAGTAACTATTTGTGGGAATTGCTTGTAAAAGGTTGTTTGAAATCAGGCCACCATAGCCTTGTGTTTTAGAAACACCTTTTCTATCCTGGTTGTGCAGGCAAGCACAGTTCTTCCCACAGCACCAGGGAGCATTAGCAAAGCAAAGCCCAGCCTGTGCTCGGCGATTTCTCCTCTGGCCTGGGCTTCTTTCAGGCAGGCTGATGAAACTGGATAGGGACAGGCTGCCCTTGTGCCAAGGGGGGACCAGAGGACAGCCCAGAGGGGGTGAGATGGGGGCACCTTGGGGAGGTGGACCTGCTGCTGGATCTGTCCCGGGCTTTTGATGGGATCCTGGAGGATGAAGTACAGTAGCTCACGTGGCTACAAGGCAGTGTTCACACGCTCCTGCTTCTGCTCTTGACTGCTCTGGACTTTTGCAGAGTCCAAGCGCTTTCCTGTGCCAGTTGGTATTTTTCACCTACAGAACAGAGATCACAGCACTTCCCCATGTCCCAGGGCTGCTGGGGGGGTGGCTGAATAAAGTTCATAAAGGGCTTCAAAAGCTGCAGGAGAGAGGCAAAGGAGGACAAGATGTTACTGCTAGTATTGTTCCCACCTCCTTAGGTCAGTCATGTGGTGGGTGCAGAAATGCCGTGGTGGTGTCGAGCATGTCCTGTCCACAGTACTTCAGTGCAGTGGGGTGAGTGGGATGTTATGTTTGCCATACACGGGCACACTTCTCTTGCTGCACACAGAGCACCTGTGCAGTTTCACTATTAATTGCTCATGAGTTTCCTTCTCAATCAAAACCTGAGTTTTGCAAGCAGAAGAGCTGACAGAGCTCAGGGTCCTGCTGTGTCTTATGAGCAAAAAGATGTGCAGAAATCAGCCCTCTGCCAGAGCAGATTGGCCTTCCACAGACTGCTGCATCCTGCAGCCCAAGCCAGTTCCCCTGACAGAGCTGAGCAACCCTGAGAAATGAGATTTTCCACCCCGTGACATGGTCAGAGGAGCACCAGCAGCACCCAGGAAGGGAGATCCAAGGGTGCTCTTAGCTGGGAAAGGCATTTTTGGTCCTCGCACCTCTGATAATCAAAGGCAGCAGAGATTTCCTGGTTTACCCCAAAGAAAGGGGCACAATCCCATTTGCAAGAGGACGAGCCTCACAGCCTTCTGGCAGTGCTGGGCTTGCTGACCCTGCCGCTGCAACCCCCCCCCCAGTTGTCCCCTTGTGCCGGCGTCAGCCCGGGGTTGTCCCCTGCACTGAGCCTGGGGACAATATTCCTTAGGTAAAATATAACAAGGCAAAAATCTGCAAATGCCCTTCCAGAGCAGCACAGAGGGAGCCATGTCATGGGGCCTGCGGTCAGGAGGGGACGAGGGCTGAGCGTGCCCTGCACCTGCCAAAGGCCAAGTGTGGGACCCGGAGCAGAGCCAATGAGCAGAGCCTGGCACGGAGACACCCCGTGCTGCGCCAGCGCCCGCCTGCGGGCTCGGGTTTCAGCCGCCTCTGTTTGTGGATCTGGAAATGTTGTGGGACCTGTGCTGTGCGGGGTGAGGGGCAGTAGCAAATGGGGCTCCTCCAGGTGAGGGCACGTGGCCCTGGGGGACCTCGCCAGCCCCCCGCCTGGTGACACGCTCTCCTTGTCACCAAAATTCAACGTGGCCCCAAGAGGACTAGCCTAAGGGCTCCCAGCTGGGGGGCAGGGCTGGGTGGCCGTCCTGGTGGGCATTGGGGAAGGGGCTCTACAGTGGGGCAGTAGGGTAAGCTGGGGGCAGCAAGTGGGAGAGTGTTCCCCGGGTTCTCCTGCTGCCCTGCCACGCAGCCAGCTCCATCCACACGGGCTGTGAGCGGCTGGCACTGCTCCCCATGGGGCGGGCAGCGGCTGGCGATGCCGTGCCCCCACTTTGAACTGGGTTTCTTCACTGGGATCCTTTCCACGAGCTCTGCTGCTTTTCCTCCTAAGCCCTACCAGGCTCTCGGCTTAGTGCTGCACTTCAGCAGGAGGCACCAAGCTCAGGGACCCAGCATCACTTTTCCTCAGAGCTTTCTGTGTCCAGTGGCTCCTGAGCAGCTGTGTTCACCTTGCATTTGCACAGCTTCACGGCCAGCAAGGATTCACTGCTGCAGAAATGCAGGGGATGGTCTGCATGGCTGCGATGTGGCCCCTTACTGCCTGCAAGCCCCCAGCAGCAGCAGCATGGAGCACCGTCAAAGTCCTCACGCAGGCACACAAGGGGCTGATGTCCCTCCTGCCCCATGCCTCTGCGTGCTGCAGCTCTTTCCCTGCAGCAGAGAAAGGAATGGAGCTGCTCTGCATTTGTCAGAGCCTGGCTCCAGTCAGCCTACTTTTGCATCCTGCTCTTCTCCAAACCTTCATCCTTGCACATGGAGCTGAAGTCAGGCTGTTACTGCAGAGGAAACCTGCAGAGAGAGAAACGTTGTGGCAGAGGAACAAGAAGGGCTTGAGGATTAGCTGCTGAAACAGATGGGAATTTCCTGGGGCGAGATGCAGAGCCGAGCAGGGCAGGGAAGGCTCCTGTGTGGTGGCTCATGCTGCCCGCCAGCTGCGTGGGCTGCGCGAGGACACCACAATGCTCATGGCCTCCTCGTGGCGGTGCCGGTGACTCACAGTGCTGCGGGAAGCAGCACGTGCAGCTGGGGCTGAGTCCTGCTCCAGAGCCCTCAGCACCGTGCACTGGGGATGGGACGGCAGCTAAATAGGGCTCAGGGCATGCCACTCACCCCGCTGCCCCAGGGAGGTTGCCCTCATTGCATCCCAATGCAAGGAGCCAGGCCTTCCCCTTGCCTTTTGGGCTGCAGCTCGCCATGTGTGTCCCCTGCAGCAGCTCGTGGAGCAGTGACACTGGGAATATTTGCTTACCAGTGCCAACAGGAGCCATGCTGTATGGTGCGTGTCCCTCGTGCTTATTGTCTCAATCCTGCCAAACTCCAGCTCTCGCACTGCGTTCAGTGTCTGTCATGTCCCATCAATGTCACCCCCTGTCCCTGCCTCAGCTCTGCCTGCCAGGCTGCCAATGGCCCCAGTGGTGCTCTTTGCCCGGCTGCTGCCTGGCAGGTCCCCATCGCCGTGCCACCAGCCCTGCTGAGCACCTGCACCCCTGCCTTCCTCGCCCCACCTTCTAGCCCTCTGCCTTCCTCCCCCCTGCCTTCCTCCCCAGGGGCCCTTGGAGGGTGGTGGTCAGGGGCTCAAGAGCCAGGTGTGGAGGCAGCAGGTACTGATGTGGGCCTGGGGGCCTGCATGACTGGCCCTCCCAGCACCTCAGCACTAGCTCCAGCCAGCTCTATAAATAAAATCAGGCTCTTTTATCCCACCAAATAAGCTTTCATTGATTTTACCGATTCCTCCTCCTCCTCCCTCCCCTGGTCTCTTTGATACATGGAGTCAGCTGCAGAGGAGCTGTGAGTAGTCAGGCTGGCGGGGAATATGCCACCCCCCTCCCGGAGATAGCTGCTCTCCCCTGGTTTTCGCTCATGCTGCTGGAGAAGCAGCAGCACAGCTCCCTGGTGGAAGTTTGCCGGCTAATGATTTATTCATCT